CAATGCAGACTATTAGTTATTGTAATTGTCTCATACTCCAATTAATTTGTAATTAATTGGTTAATTAATTAATTTTCTAATTAATAAATCAATTAGCAAATTAATTAATTAATTATTAATTAAATATTAATTAATTATTAATTAATTGATTGATTTGCAATCACATACTCCAACTAATTTGGAAAATTTTTGAAAAAAAAAGTAAAAAAATTTGATGTCAATTTTTTTTTTTTAAATTAACCTAACAGGTTTTTCTGAAAAACTACAGATATATAAAATTTTCGAAATCAATTTTGACAATAAATATGCATTATATAGTACGTGAAAGTACCACAAAATTAATTGGAGTATGAGACAATTACAATAACTAATAGTCTGCATTGAAGTAATAAAATACCGATTTTTCTATATATTGAATTATTTTTAATCTCTCATAGGACCTTCTATGGGCCGAAACGAATGTTGCCCCCTAAAATTATTCCTCATAAAGCATACATCCCACCAGTTTATTTCAAAATTGGCGAGTCACACTTCCCTAGTAGTTCTGTGATCTGTATGAAGCTTTTAAATTTATATTTACTTAATATATAAAATAATACAATCAAGAACATGCCTTTATTATGGTTATTCTTTACTTGAACAACATGCTTTTAATTTTTTTAGATTTATTTATGATTATCAATTAAATCTAAGAAATCAGTAAGTAGAGGTTATTTCTGCCTAATCTTTATAAGTGATTTTTGCTGAGTATTTGTTCAATCATTTTGAAATTAACCGAATCCCAAACAGATACAAAACCTAATTCTTCTAAAAATAATAGACAATTTCTAAAATAATTTCAAAAAAATGTACGCTTTATTGCGTTCTGCTTAAGAAACGAGAATGCATTCCCACTGAATTGTTGAAAAGTTTGTCAACAGCTAACAGCGCAATGTTCTCTGTTGCATTTTAAACAACTAAAATGTTTGGGTAGTGCATCAACTAGTTTTGTGCTTAGACCACAGACATCACGTAAAACACCACGTTGTCTTTTCAAATAGTGATTATTTTTAGGAAAAAAGTTTTTAAATATTTTTTTTGCAGCTCTATCTGTTAATAACCATTGTAACTAATTGTAAAGTTAAGCGAAAATAAATCTTGCTTCTTAAATAAAAAGCAGCAACCCGTGCATCTTGATTCTCTGAAATCGAATTTTTAAATCGCCGGTCATTAAAATAAGCTTGAACGTGAATCATGAGAAATGCTGTGTCGCTCAGATTTACTCTATTTTATCCTGTATGGATATTTAGTTTTATCTTTTTAAAATGTAATCAATATTTCAGTTTGAACGATTTTCAAATAAACGCCTCATGAATATTCGAGTTTGTAGGAAATTAGGAAATACTTTTATGAGATATATAAACTACAAATATGTTACTTGCAATTATAGTTATTTTGATTAATCTTTATTAAAATCACTTTTAATGAATTTAAATTTGTCAAAAATGTACTCATTTGGCTTTACAATCAATTCTTGCGGAATATTACATATGCGGCAAGAGTTTTGCGCATATTATGTAAAAATAATTTTGAAGAACATACATCTGAAATTCTCAATACGATTTAGCTTTACATTGTATTATTTTAAAACATTTTCTGCGTAGTCACGTAAGGCATCCGAATTGTTTGCGACGTATATTTTTTATTTATTTGTTGGAAGTCGTGTTTCTCAAAAACACTTCGATGGTTTCTGAGCTTTGATTGAAGTTGTTTTGAAATAGTAGCCTCCAAAATACTAAAATGTCCGTGATTGACAAAATATTCAAGCATTCGCTTTTTTTGTTTTTCTTTCATTCTTTTCATTCTGAAACGTTGAAGCAAGTGGAATTATTAAATATACACTTCTCAAACATATTGTAAGGATATTATAATCGCAAAATTTATAAGTCTTTGGTTTGTTTCATCACATGTTTTGTAAAATATTTTTATCATAAAAAATTTTGTTGATCTTTACACTACATACAAATAAGCTTCGTAACAAAACCGTTCTTTGTATTGATGATGTTGATGTTTGGAAGATATTAAAATTCAAAAACTGGAAGACGTTTTCTTATTTTACACAATGATAAACACTTTATATACAGGGTGTTTCATAATGCTCAACCTTAATATATAGTTTTAAAACCTTGGTAAAGGATGAAGTGAATAAACTATTTCATTAGGTTCACAAATAAATATTTAAGTAAGAAAAAAAAAATTTCGAACTCCGACCAATCACTGTTCAAAATTAAACAAAAAATGCAAGGGGGTATTAAAATGAATTAATTTGTAGATGATATTTATTGGAGGATGCAGGAGAAAGGTAAGAAGTTTCCTGATTATTTTTACAAATAAAGTGGTTTTTGATTAATTAATCAATTTTTTGATCTTCCCTACCTTAGTAATGAATAAACATGATGTGGGATTTTTTTTAATTAGAGTATTAATTTATGACCGATAATGCGCAAGCATTTTTGTGTTTATTTTTTTGAAGAGTACCGAGAATCTTCATTAAAAAATAGTTACATGATTAGTATTCTTAAATTATTATTTTTTAATTGGGGACATTCCTGTGTCCTATACATATATTTTTTAAAAAATTGGTAAGTGTATTCAGTATTGTTTCCAAAAATTTGAATAAAAATTTTATTGTTATATTTTATCACTGAAAAATAAAATAAACTTCTTATTTGAAAAAGTTAATTTTATAATTTTGAAGAACATTATTACTTTATCTAATTTGAGGTGTTTTTATAACAATACATTTAATAAGTTAATTTTCTAATTTTTACAATTAGCATTTGTGTACCTTACATATCATTCATTTTAAAATTTAAATGTAATATTAACTTACGATGCATCTTTAACCAAACAGGGTTTAACAAACGACTGGTGCACCACGATGCCTAAAAAATTGTCTGCTCCCGATATCTAGTTAATTACTATCATTTTTGAAAGTTTATACAGCGTTAGTCCTTAAAAACTAAGGAGTATATTTCAATATTCCTCAGGTATGAAATGTTACTTCTAACTTGTATCATGCTTCTAACTTGTATTCTCTTCAAGAATAATAAATTTTGAAAAAAAATTCTTGTGTAGTTTCATAAAAGCAAAAAGATATAACCTTTCTATTCCATGTAACATGATGGTTCTTAAAAATAGTTCTTTCCCGGCCCATAAATATAAGTCTAAAAAATTTTTTAGGTTCTTCAGATTTGACTTTGTAAGATAAAAGTTATCATCGGAAATACTGTTACATTTTGGCAGGCTTTGATGGGAAAAAAAAGGTAAAGATACACCGCAAACGATACAGACACAGTCTATGCTTTTCAGTACGGCCATCTATTACAGCGAAATTCCATTACAACGGCTTGTGTCCCGTTTGCTTTTTCCACAAACGAAATGTTATTCCAATGCTCATTAGGATATTCACACGTAATCGTTCATTCCAATGTAGCAATTAAAATTTAGCCATTTGATTTAGAAAAAAGTTCCAAAAAATTATTTAAAATGTTATTTCCTTTGATGTTACCACACAATAACTGTTAAATACATTGAATCCCTTATTGAATAAGGGACATTATCCTAAATTCTTATTCTTAGTCCTAAGTGGTCGTAATTTGTGATAATTCATAATCTTTTTACTTTTCAAAGAATACAATAAATTAATGAATCATGTTTTTAATTGTTTGAAAATTGTATTCAGTCGCCTTTCCATTCCAACATGATGGTGCCTAAAAATAGTCCTTAGTGGTCATAAGAAGGTCTTGTACGCCCTTGTCCATAAATTTAAGTGCAAAATTTTTTTCAGATTCTTCAGAATTAGGTTCCAATTTGCAAGAGGAAAGTTATTGTCGGCAATTCTCTTACACTTTGTTAGGCTATTCATTGATGGTGACAAAGAAAAACAAATAAAAAAAAGCCCCGTAAGCAATACAAAAACAGTTTACGTTTTTCTTGTCAGCCTCCCATAACAGCAAACTTCCATTATAACAATTTATGTATTAAGTCCCGTTTGCTTTTCCATAGACGAAATGTTATTTTTATGTTCATTCGAAAGTCCAGTGTAGCAATCAAAATTTAGTCACTTGATTTAGAAAAAAAAATTTTAAGAAATAATTTAAAATATTATTTTCTTTGATGCTACCACGCAATAAACCCAATAGGCATGACCCGGGTTCGAATCCCAGAGAGGGCTGGTCGATATACGAATTCCGAATCCGGCTCGCACCGATCTCAGTGCTGATGTAAAATATCTTTAGTGGTAGACGGATCATGGGTTAGAGTCCCCTTGCCTCCAGGATAACCATGGGAGGTTTTCGTGATTTTCCTCTCTATGAAACGCAAATAGTTATCATTATATTTTCCTAAGCCTAAATTTTATGTAGTACACTCTTTTCTAGGAGAAAAATTACCTAATGTATCAGTCATCCTTTATACAAGGTTTTCCAACAGGATATCTGTTTTTAAAATCCTAACTAAATTTAGAGACACAAATTAATAAAGCAAAGGGAAAAAAAACAGCTCCACAGTTAATGTACGAAACCTGTTTAATTGCAATAAGAAGAGGTGATTATTGGAAGCACCTTTAATCCGCAACCAATCAGGTTTTTATGTCCCCGTGTGCTATGGAAAAATTCAAGGAGAAAATAATTCTAAACTCTTCTTATCTTCATTTTTGATTTTAAAAATATATATTAAGGTTGGCCTTTTAGAAAACCCTTTATTTAAGATAATACGTGCCTTGATCATATGTTATTGGTACTTGTCTAAATGCGTCTTAAGTTTACCTTTAATTTTTTATCTAAGGGTAAACTAAAACGTAGTCAAATCATGGAAGCAAAATTTTACATTCTTTAAACCTGCTATTCATTTCTATTTCACTGCTTTAAACAATTCTAAAGCAATAACATTTGGCGAATGTTTTAATATTTCAAAGGAGTCTAATCGCGTGGATTTGGCGAAAACGATTCTTGACAACCCTACCCACGTGTGTTAAAGCATCTTACTTTTCTCTTAAAGAGAATACGTTCTTCTTGCGCATCTTAAAATTTTTCTGATTTCGTACAGAGCAAAACAAGGTAATTAATATTTCTCAGAATTCATTTATAATTAAAGCATTTTTTGTTAAAATTGAGTATCACATAGTACATTTAAATTTCCTTTTTTAATAGAACATATGATAAATTCATGTGCGCATGTTGTATTAACTTGTGCAATATGTAAATTTTAAAACTTTTGCGGCGAAACATTTTCAAAATTATTACCTAAATAGGAATGGTTTACTTTTTAGACGTTTATAAAATTTTTACTTAATAATAATAATAATAAATAATGCAATAGTAATTCTAAAATTTGAGCATAAAAAAACTGTTATTGAGCATTTCGGCATTTATATGGACATTTAATTCTATATAAAAAAAAAAGGAATTCTCTCTAAATAACAGCATATATTTTTAACCAATACTAAATAATTACTATTCACAATGGAGTGTACTTTAAAGATCTGCGTCCTGGTACCTTTATAAATGTTTTATAATAATTTATAAAAAACTTGCTAATGCACACTATTTTTTTAACATTAATGTTTTTAAAATTAAACTTTCATTTCAGATGTTTAAAATATTAAAAATATAAGTTTCAATGCAAATTATATTTAAAGTGCATTAAAACATTATGCTTTCATATTAATTTTAGATCATTACATAATGTATAAATACAATTTATGTAATTAAATATGATTTAAAGGTAAATAAAAAAAAATTTTGAAATAAAACTTAAATAATTAGAAAATGAATTATATAACTTAGCAAGTATTATTTAGACAGTTTTGATATCTAGTACTTTTTAGATTTATTTGTTAAAATGTATTATGTTATTAAAAAAGTATATAAAGATATAAATTGTATTACAGGCATTTGAATTTTTTTATACGCTTCCATGGAAAGAAATATTTTTACACTTTCATCATATATTCTAGATAAATTAAGTTAATTTAATAATTTTTAATATATATGAAAATATTTATTTACTTTATCAAATTTTAGCAACATATAGAGCCAAGTTATTTCCTTATCTTTTTAATGCATAATAACATTATACATAATAGCTGACAAATGCCTAGTTCATATAATTACTTCTTGATGAAAATTGTTAGCTTTTACTTAGTTATTGGTTTAAAGTAGCATTTTTAAGAAAAATGAAGTTTAAAAAGAGAAAAAATAAAATTTAATAAAAAATTCCTAATAAATATAATATTTTTTTTACATACCTTGAAATATAGTTTATTTTTTCAAATATATAGCATGTAAACATTATGTTAAAAATCTAGTGTTAATTTACACAATATACCATTTGTATTGAAGATATTATGTTTCCTTAACTGCTTATATCGCAATTTAATTTTCCTTTTACTAGTTTTGAATTTTAATGGTGATCCTAGATTTTTTGATCTGCATTTCTTAAAAAAACTTAGCTATCCGTATGCACGTTACTATTTCAATTTTTATCTTATAATTAATTTCAAATATTTAAATAGAATTATAAATAATGTAAAACACAGGTAAAAACAAATCAGTTTCCTGCACCCAAGTTATAAAATGATAAATGTTTTTCAATATCCATTAAATATGGCATCTTCTTCTACTGATTCAACAATCCATGGGAGGTCTTCTTCCATTCTATTCTCTGCGTAGTGATACTTCCTCAGTTAGTTAAAATATGATATACATTGAAACCTGTGAAAGTTGACCACATGCGGCGCATTGCCTTAGTGGCCTAATTAGACATTGGGTCACTTATAGAGGGAGATGAGTATTTGTTTTATCGTTACTTAAATCATTGTGTTCATATTACCAATCAAAATATAGATAAACATAATTAATACGTAATTAATTTTTACATTTTTACATAAACGTAATTAATCTTTACATGATTTAAAATTTCATGTTTCGTTAAAATGAGATTAATTACTAGAATGAATTATGATTTATTACATCAACTTAATATTATATTAGTTTGTTTAAAAAATGCACATAATTTTAAGAAATCTCTATGAATGTGTAACTATGTGATGTAATATACAACAGATGAGCAGCATGCCATATTGATAAGAAATAAATGGCTGCGTCCCGGCATAACTGTTGTGTCGTTCCTTGTAGGTAACAGCTAATTAGATAACATTTCTCACATCTGATATGAATGATATTTAAACATAAACAATTAAGAGGTATATTAAATGATTTTAAAAATTCGATAAGTTGTGTTATTTTATTCTTCGAATGACAATATATAAACAAATATTTAAAAAAAAAAATAGACAAATTTTTTAAAAAAACATATATATTTTTTTAAATAAGATATTCTCTCACGAAAAACTACGTAATGATCAAATAAAATATTTGATAACTGTTTAAAAATAAAATGTTGCTCCAATGATTATTTCAAACAAAACATTGAAATGGTATTTCGTCAACAAAGTTGCAGAGATCTTTTCTTGGCAGCTCTCGTGATATATTTATATCTTTTTACAAAGAATCCCTCACTACAGCATCACAACTGTCGTATCAGGAGACACTTTTTGATGTGTGTCTCTGACGTAACCTTTTGTTCACTAGAATTCAACTTTGAAAAATGTGGGTTGGTCTCCCCTATCATCAGACGAAATTCTCTGTTATGGTTTATCATCGACATTAAGAGATCTAAATTAGAAATCACAATGATGCTTTTAAAAAAGAAATCATGCTAACTTTTTAAATGTCAGATAAATATTCATTCAAACAACTTCTATTTACTTTGAGAAAAATTTTAATAATATAATAACTTATTGTAAAAGTGTATTATAAAATTGTATTTATTTAAATGAAATAAATAAAAGCATATGCATAGCTTTAAGTTTAAGCAAAATTAATAGTTCTTAAGCAATGTAAAATAATTCGAACTACTTACTTTGGTTCCTAAAAAATTACCGTATGCTGAAAAAGAGGTTATCAACCTGAATAACTTCTGCGCAAATGATTAGATTTTCTGGCACTAAGAGTCAATCTTTATGGTTCAAAGAGTTGCCCTTAAATACGTCAATTTATTAGAGCTAAGTATTTCTTAAGCTAAGTATTTCTTAAGCTATGTAAATGACAAAATAGAACAACTATCCAGAAAAATTTGGTCTTAATAGTTTTGTCAAGAGAGCGGAGGCACTTATAAAACTCAGTTATTCAAAGTTAGCTTCATGCAAAAATCAAATCTTCATAATTATGAATATTGTTTGTAATTTTATTTGCTATTGATAAATTTTTTTAATGGTATGTTATTCAAATTTTAACTACGTAATTGTAAGCACATAACTATTATTTTAACTCATATAGTTAAATAATCGTTATTCATTATAATTATTAAAATATGATGAAAGTTTAAACTGCGTAATTGTAATTATATGATTATTTAAACTATGTAATTGAAAACAGTTTATGGTTATTTAAAATATTGTATGTATAAACAACATTATACAAAATTTGTATAAAATTAATGGAATAGTTGAGCTAAAAAAATTTAAAAACGTCTATCTTCAACTTTCTATATCTTTATAACTTTTTCACTAATTTCGTACTTAATCATTTAAAATGACATAGTTCAAAACTATGTAAAAACTTGTTTATATTTTCATTCAATTTTTATCACCAATTTTTGAACAAAATAATGAATGGTTGTTAAAACTTAATTATAGTGTAGAATTATCTTTGAATAAATGAGTTTTATTATTGTGTGCGAAAATTTTGATTCGCTAAAAAAACTTTCGAGGTATGCGAAATATGCAATAAGTAAAATTAACATGAAGGTGCCCAAACTTTCAACCTAACTGTTGGAACTATATTTGTCAGATTATTTTAGAAGACAATTATTTTGGTGCCCTAATATGTTTTGGAGGTAAAGTAATTTACACTAAGAATTATATCTAACTACTTTGGGGGTTAATAATCTAAGTCTGTTAAAAAAAAAAGTATATTTATTCAAAGAAAGTGCATATTTGAGTCGCAATTTAATTAATTATTGGCACTTAGCATATCTGAGATAAAACTTTCAAATCCTTAAGATAGGCACTAAATGCTTGAAAAAATACTTTCACGTGAATAGAAAGTAGGAAAAAGTGAATTGACAAGGTCATATGAATACTGAGGATTAACAAAAGATTTCTCCTTACGTTTCTGCAATCTGTTGAACGTCACACGTTGATTCTTTTTTGATTCATCAAGTTAATAGTTTTTTCTTGGATTTCAATATTCATTAAAATAAGTTGCTCCTAAGACAATCATTTATTGCTTACATTTCTGCTTTACTTTCACCGGACACAAAGCAACATTTTTTCCAATGAAATTCAGATCAGGCTTGATATACACTGTCACCAGATAAAGTTAAATATATTTTTAATGCATGTAAAATATATATAATAAAAGTAGCATGCAATAAGATGTATGGTGTTTCTATTAAATATCTTTGCCCTAAGGATAACTTTGTGAACTCTTCAAACGGAGAAGAAAAAAAAACACTGGTACTGTATGGTAATATCCGTACTGTATGGTAATATCATTCCATAATTCTAGTAATACAAACTAAAACATATGAAATTTAGACAATTCATTTGGTAAGTTTTCCATGCATATGGTAGCTATTTAAAGAAAATTCTAGCTTCCGAAAAATTTTAGGTTTTATTACCACACACTTATCAAAAAATACAGAACTGAAAAATAAATTTAAGCGAATAAATGGTCTTAATACCATGCTCTAAAGTATAATGATAAAATTACCAAATTTTACCATGTTTACCGAATTTTATCGCAAATTATAAAACCATATTTTGTCGTTAATTTTGCTAAAATCATAACCAAAGTGCTTCGGGAAAAATTACTGAATTTTTGGTGCTTCCGCATAGATAGAAACGGGGTACATTTTACCATATTCTTGTAGTTTTGACCATACTTTTTTCTTCAGCGACGAACGAAAATGGGAATAATCCTCCAAGATAAAATCCTTAAATGCTTCTGGATTGAGTAGAAAATTGTAAAGCTGTGGCATTGATAAAAAATTT